GAGAGATCCAGGTAGAGGGAAAAGGGGCCGTGTGGGCTCTGTGTCCCAATACATTTTACTGCCAGACCCTGAGGCTTGCAGGGGTCCATGGAGTTTCTCTAATCTAGGTCTGAGTGACCCATGATGACTGAGATCATTCTGAAGGTCAAATATGCTAAGCATATTTGTCCTGCATCATACATAGCAGTGTCCTTCATGAGTTTCCCCCACATCCTTTCAAAGTACTGAAAAAAAGAAACCACTTCACAACTTCTGATCCCTTAGTAACCTCTCACCTGGACCATACACTCCCAGGGAAAAGAAAAGTGAATTTGTGCCAGGCATGGTGGCACATACCTGTAATCCCGGTGACTTGGGAAGGAGGATCACAAGTTTCAGGGCAGCCTCAGCAGCTTAGCAAGACCCTGTCTCAAAAAACTAAAAAGTTCTGGGGATGTAGCTCAGTAGTAGAGCACCCCTGGGTTAATCCCCAGTACAATAACAACAAAAAGAAGACAAAAGAAAGAAAAGTGTTTGTCGCAGGGATTGGCATGAAAGGGAGGGTCTTAGGAGAGTCCTAGGAACTCTCCACCATCCTGAAATGCTAAAGGTCCCCCTGTCTCTCTCAGAGCTGCTGACAGTGGGCATTTCCTCAGTGCAACGCCCCCAAGGGAGCTACCTCCTGGACACCCTGCAGTCCCTGTTCCAAGTTTCCTCAGAAGCTGAGCTGAAGTCTATAGTGGTGCTGGTGCATCTGTCAGACCCTGACCCTGAGTGGCTCAGCCAAACAGTGGCCAATATTTCAGACCTCTTCAACCTACACATTGAAGCCAGGAAGCTGCTTGTGGTCCATGGGCTTCTGGATAACTCCCCGCTGAAGAACATAAACCAATATTCCTCCTGTGAAGAACTTTATTTCAGGCAGAAAGTGGATTATGCCCTCCTCATGAACTTTGCAAGCAACCTCTCTGATTACTTCCTGTTGATGGATGATCATGTTCAGTACACTTTCTATTTTGTCTCTGCCATCTACTGGGCATTATCAGCCTGGAAAGAATTCCCCTGGGTGATCCTGGAATTATCCAGCCTGAGATTCTCTGGGAAAGTGTTCCACTCCAGGGACCTCTCCCACCTGGCCTCTTTCTTCCTCCTCTTCCCCAAGAACACTTCTGCTCCCATGCTTCTCTCTAGATTTCATCTTCTCTTGGCACAAAATGTTCCAATTCATCTCAGTCCCTCCATGTTCCACCACATGGGCAATTATTCTGAACTGGAGGACACATGCTTTCCTGTGGAGAAGGACAAGGTCTTTGGGGAGCCAGACAATCCCACGGCTATTGTAGTCACTGACATGATGTCTATACTGAACATTGTTCCACTATACGCTTATGTTCTGAACGAGGAGCCCTACACTACCTTGGATCCTGAAAAAGGCAACCACCTCACAGTGATTCTGGATAGACCACAAAAAATCATCCGAATAGTGGTGCTGACAGGCATTGAGGAAAACGGGATGTATCAACTGCAAAAGGGCAGAGTACTACTGGGCTATGACATCATGGAACATTCCAAACGCTGTGTTCGCTATTTCCTGCTAGGGCCACTGGTACGAGGAAATTTGGACCAGAGGGTATTTTATGACGAAGATTCTATGGAGAAGCTGAGTTGTATACGACTGGAGGTGTCAGAGTCTCAGCAGTGGCTCGTGATCAGGCAGATCAAAGTCTGGACAGACCCTGAGGAAGAGGAGAGTTAGAGGTCACAGTGGGCATTCTGGAATAGGGTTTGGGAATAGAGCTACAGGATTCACAAATAAATCCAGAAACTGAACAACAGCTGGTCCTTTTGAATAGGGTAATCACGTAATTTATTCTCCAAACTGGGACCCTGCAGAGAATGGAAGAAAGTGCTATTGAAAACTATACTGGAGGCCACCAGTGTGACAACACCTGCCTGTAATCCCAGCTACTCCGGAAACTGAGGCAGAAGGATCACAAGTTTAGGGTCATTCTTGGTAATTTAATAAGTCTCTGTCTGAAAGTTAAAAAAAGGGGTCTGGGGTTGTGGCTCAGTGGTAGAGCACTTGCCTAGCATGTGTGGGGCACTAGTTTCATTTCTTAGCATCACATTAAAAAAAATAAACAAATAAAATATTTTTAGAAGAGTTATATATGGGGAAAAAGAAGATGAAAAGACAAGACATAAGCCGGTAGAAAATATTTTTAAAAAATAAAATAAATTAAATTAAATTAAAAATCACTGAGTGTGTAAAGCATGCCTTGGTCAATCCCCAGTAATGCAAAAAAAAAAAAAAGAAAATTATATTAGAACAATAGATATAAACCAGGAACGTCCTGAGCAAAATGAAATGTATGTGTTCACCTAATTCTGAGTTTTCTAGGATTCTTAAAATAAAATGACACAGTCTAATTAGGGATGAGGGTCAGAGACAAGTCAATGTTCTTCTGTTTCCAAACACCAGGCAGGAGGAGTCGCCATGAACTGCCTTGGTTCTTATCTGCACATAGGTAAAATGTCCTACGATCTTTTTGTAAGGGAGATATTTCTCTATCTAGAGTTGGGAACAGTCTTTTTTTTTTTTAGTTGTAGATTGACACAATACCTTTATTTTATTTATTTTTATATGGTGTTGAGGCTCGAACCCAGTGCCTCACACATACAAGGTGAGCATTCTACCACTGAGCTACAATCCTAGCCCAGGACCAGTCTTAATAGCACTGTATTCATGGAGTTAGAACTGACTTTGGCTCCTATTTGTACACCCAAACCTCCTGTAAGCCATGTTTACAAGTTTCTGGAGTAAAGTTTGCTGAGCTGGGATTCAGGAAGGGCTGTTTCAAGTATCCATGAATATCCTAGAATTGTGTGCAAATTTGATAGAGACTCATATATGCATTTTCCTAAGTATTGGCTATTTGACTTTCAGCAGAGCCTTGAAATGTTCCATATTTTCCCTAAAAAGTTTGGAATAGCTAAACCAGCAGCTTTAACCTTCTTAAAGGAAGAAACAATATGTTTCTCATAGAGATATCTATTTACATTGGAAAATAAGGAGATAGGACCACATATTTCTTCATTCCCTTGTGTATGCATTGAGAAAATATTTGGGAGCATACTTAATGCTAGGTCCTTTTAAAGACAGTATGAATAATTAGATGAACCAAGGGACTTAATAGTAAAAATCAGTAATTAAAATGAAATGTATCATAAATGTCATTTCTTTCTAAATTGATGAACATCAATAAAAACACAAATGAGGTTTTTTATAGTGTCTACTATTTTTGAAAATTTCCTTGACATGTGGAAATCAATATTTGTGTATAGCTTGTTGCCTTTCATTATAATATTGATTCTCTCATTTCATTAAAAATAAAATAGTATGTACATCTTAAAAAGAACAAAGCTGGACACAGTGGTGCATGCCTGTAATCCCAACTACTCAGGTGGCCAAAGCAGGAGGATCATGAGTTGGAGAGCAGCCTGGGCAACTTAATGAAACCACATCTCAAAAATAAAATAGGGGCTGGGTTTGTGGCTCAGTAGTAGAGTGCTTGTCTGGCATGTGTGAGGCACTGGGTTTGATACTCAGCACTACATAAAAATAAATAAATAAACAATCAAATAAATAAAACAGCTGGACATGATAGCACATGCTTATAATCCCAGTGGCTTGGGGGCTGAGGCAGGAGGATCGTGAGTTCAAAGCCAGCCTCAGCAAAATCAAGGTGCTAAGCAACTCAGTGAGACACCCTGTCTCTAAATAAAATACCAAACAGGGCTGGGGCTGGGGATGTGGCTCAGTGGTTGAGTGCCCCTGAGTTCTCTGGTACCCTAAATAAATGAATAAATAAATATATAAAGGTCCATTTACAAATATATATACACATATGAATTTATTTTTAAAAATAAAATAAAATAGATAAGAATAACAAAATTCCTATGCCCCTTGCAATTTAGTTTGGCCAATAAAATAAAAGCAAAAGTCTCTGAGTAAGCTTTCCATGAAAAAAAATCCAACAAGAGTTTAGTCAGCTGACAGAAACCCTTCTTGGGTTGGCCTGATTATTCTTTAACTTATTACCTCACCATTTCTTTCAGTAAAATGCATTTTGTATTTTTTTTCAATCATCTTCAATGAGAGAATTGGCTCAGACTGCCTAGTTTGCTATGATAAAAAGCTTTTATGTGTAATGCGAAAAGATCTTGAGGACACACCATTAAATAAAAAGATCAGACTTCAATAAAATATATACTAAATTATTCATTCTTACATCTCTGTTCAGTGTGATTACAAAAAGAAACTACAGAGGATTCTGTCACTGTGGTTTGACTATGATCTCTACAAAAATTCTCCTGATTGAAACAACTAAATATATTTCATTTAATACTTAAAAGCTGTTTTTAAGTTTCTCAATGAAATTAAAAGAAAAGATATTATCAGAGTTCAAAGTAAGAACTCAGATGGGCACATCAGGGCTTAAGCTGGCTTTTGCCCTTGAAAGTGTTAGCCAAACACCAGTGACACTGAGCTCTTCTTTAAACAGCAGTAGGGGGTGCATGGGACAAGAGAAAATGTCAGGGATTACCCAAGACATAGAACATAACTGGAGGAAGATCACCATGTAAAGCTGCAACATCAAAGGACCAGACTCATCACAGAGCTCAAAAAATAAACACATGCCATAAAATAGGACAGAAGTAAAATTAACCTATTTCAATCCATGCACTAAGAGAGAGAGAAAAAAATATCTTCCCTGGTAATTCCTAACATTGGCTTTCCATTTGCAATCCCTCAAATTAACTCTGCTAGAGGCTCCCCAAAATTTCTAGTCAAGATTATAGTTTATTTGTTCTTGTTCTATTGATTGATTGATACTGGGAATTGAACTCAGGGGCACGTAGCCACTGACCACATCCTCAGCCTGCCCCCCTTTTAAAATATTTTATTTAGAGACAGGGTCTTGCTAAATTGTTTAGGGCCTTGCTAAATTACTCGGGTTGGCTTTGAGCTCATGATCCTCCTGCCTCAGCCTCCCAAGCCACTGAGATTACAGGTGTGCTGGATTACAGGCATGTGCCACCACACCTGGAAAGATTGTTTTAAATTGGTTACAATCATAGTTGGTAGTGCCTGCCCTCAAGATGCATGGAAAAAGCAAACGCAAGTCTTTTGGTGTAATCTTGGACTCACCAAATCCTCACAAAGCTCACAGTAATATATATACACACACAAGGAAATATATTTCCATAATGAGAATCAGAAGAAGGAAAAAACTGAATCAGAGTTGAAAAAACTTCAAATATTTAAATATTGAAACTATTAGACACAAAATAAAAAGTAACTTTTATTATATTTTTTGAACATTGAAACTCTGAGTAAAAGAAACAACTGACTGCTGGCATAGTGGCGCAACCCTGTAATAACCTCAGCTACCCAGGAGGCTGAGGCAGGAGGATCCAAAGTTCAAGGTCAGCCTGGGCAACTTAGCAAGATGCATATAGCTAACCCTGTTGTTGAAGGTAATGTATAGCCTTAAATGAAAATAAGACTAATAAATTAGAAAGTAAATAAGACTAAAGTTAGCAAGTTAAGCATCCATCATAAAAATTTAGCAAAATAGCAGAAACAAACAAATAAAAACTTACTTGGTGACATGTAAGTCTAAAATGTTTAGTCCTAGCTACTTGGGAGACTGAGACAAGAGAATCATTTGAGCCCAGGAATTTGAAGCTAGCCTGGGCAACATAGTGAGATCCATCTCAAAAAAAAAAGCACAGGAAAGAAAACATTCAATATAGGAGCAAATGTAATGTCATTTAAAGAGGGCTGGAGATATAGCTCAGTTGGTAGAGTGCTTGCCTCACATGCACAAGGCCCTGGGTTCAGTCCCCAGCACCACACACACACACACACACACACACACACACACACAAAAATCAACTGTAATGACATATAAAGAAACATCATAAAGAGAATTAAAGAGCAAGCTACAGAGTAGGAGAAAACCACCATAAAATAATGGACAAAGAATACCTATCCAGAAATATAAAAGAATTACCACAATTCACTAAGAAAAAAAGAAATATGCAATGGGCCAAAACTTCAACAAGAACTTGACAAAAGAGTTATTGTTTCAAAGGTGCTCATCTCATTTCTCTGCAGATTTCAAGTAAAAACAAAAATGGCTAAAATTAAAAAGGCTGACAGTACCATGTGATGTATAGAAGCAGTACAGGCCATAGCCCGAGAGCCAAAGGTAGTCCATCAAGAATTTTTGCTTATGAAATTTTACTGGATAACAGTCATGAACATTTGCTCACGCTTGTCTATAACTGCTTTCATGGTATACAGGTAGAGGTGAGTAGTTATGAGAGGAATTATAGCCCACAGTCTAAAATGTTTATAGACTAGAAAAGTTTGTCAACCTCTATGTAGAGAAATAAGAATTCTCCTCACTGCTGGTGGCAAGGCAAACCAACACAATCTGGAAAACTGTTTGGCAGTGTCTACAACAATTGAACTTTATGATGGAGCAGTTGCATTCCTAGGTGTATATTCAACAGAAATAAAAATCTATGTGCATTAAAGACATGTACAATAATATATAGAGGAGCATTATGTGTAATAGTCACAAATTGGGGGGAAACCCAAGTGTACATCTATATAGTAGATTGGGAAAATAAATTTGGTCTAGTTGTACAATGGAAAATGAATTAACTATTCCTATCACAATA